GAGGTGAGGCTTTTTTTGACTCTTGACAGCAGAGGACGTGTGGGCGCTTCGGGGGGGCAGGCAAGGCAGGGGCCACAAACTATCATCTGGCGGGCCACAAATGGCCCCCGGGCCACATGTTTGAGACCCCTGTTGTAAACAGTGTTCAATGGCAGGCGAAAGCACCTTAATAAAATCATCCCAAGTACTCCTTCTGTGCCCCTATTGTGGCTGATCCAGGTTGTAGCCGAATTAGATGCCTACAGCTTTCAAAAATGCTAGCTTTAAATAGAGCTTCTGCTGATTTAAAGGAAGCTGCCCCTTCTGTTGCTGATCCTAACCCTAACCCTTTGAGCACCTACAGCAGGAAGGCCAGTTGTATATGCATTTTTGTGGTATTATACATTTCCATGTGGATGGAGTCAAAAAATTACTTTCAAGAATCTTCCTTTTTCTGGAAACTGTATTTCTATGAAACAGTTCTTATTGAGAAAAGTTTACATGACAGAAATGGGATTGTTGAAAAGTTTACATTTTTAACATAAGTATGTAATCTGAAAAATGTTAGGTACATGAGTTTATATGTGTCATATGCAATTTTTAGAACGAATCTCATGTTGTGTGCGTGTGCGTGTGCGTGCATGCAGAATGCTAAACTAGACAGTCCCCCAGTCTAATCTAGCAAAGCAATTCTTATGATTTATTTTTAATGAAGTAATGCTGGAAGTCTGGCACAGTGGCTTCATGACTAGATAAAGCAAAGTTTAAAAATAATGTTTCTAATTAAGCTGTTTCTTTGTGCAGAGTCTTGACCTTGCAGACCCTTTTTTGTATGGAGCAAAATGGATTGTAGCCATTGTGGTTAAAAACTTTAAGCCTTTCTGGGGTGGCGATCGGCAGACACCTGTTGTATTGAAAAGCTGCTTTTAGTTGTACAATCCCAGGATTAGCTTTATAGACAGAAATAAAATTGCATACTGTGAAGTGAATGGCATTGGTCTCTTGGGAAATGGTTGGTGTCCCATTCTTTACGGGTGGAGTATCCCAGAGAAACAAATGGGGAAGTATGTGCCTGAAGCAATACAATGAGTGATTGCCAGTTGTAAATATACAGAGCTGAGAAAATAGCCTGTCCCTATCTCCAGGCACATATTCACAGATATTTCATTGGAAGCCAGATTCAAAGTCAGAGCTCTTTTGCCTGGCGAATAGCTGAAGACTTGTAAGTGTCAGATAAACTAAAGGCAACTTCATTCTGATAAGATAGGCATTACTATTATCTCTATATGTATTTGGATTTTCACAGTGAATTTTGGAAACAGGAATAAAGTCCTCAGCATGATTTTCACACAAGGTGAGAAGATAACACTGCCAGTTTGCTTATACCGTGGTGCCTCGCTTGACGAGGATAACCCGTTCCAGCAAAATCACTGTAGAACGAAATCGCTGTCAAGGTAAAGTAAAAAACCCATTGAAATGCATTGAAAAACAGTTCAATGCGTTCCAATGGGCGAAATATCTCAGCGTCCAGCCAAGATCCTCCATAGGGCGGCCATTTTCCAGTGCCTGTAAAGCGAAAAAGCCTTCCTAAACACAGTGGGGAGCCATTTTGAAACAGCGGGTGGCCATTTTGAAACCCGGCGATCAGCTGTTTTGATCATCATAAAGCAAAAAATCGGTTCCCGAAGCAGGGAACCAATCATCGTCAAGCGATTTTCTCCTATTAAAACATCATTTTGCGATCGCTATAGCTATAGCGATCGCAAAATACTCATCGTTAAGCGATTTCCTCCTCTAACAAGGTAGTCTTCAAGCGGGGCACCACTGTAAAGATATTAGAAAGGGCTGAGTGGTGGAAGAGACAGTCAGTTCACTGAGAAGTAAGAAAGTAAAAGCATATAAGTTAAATTCCGGGAATCAATGTAGGTTAAAAGTTGAAGAATCAACAGATAAAAACTGTTAGGCATTGCATGGAGCTCACTAGAGAAGCTTAAAAATGACCTCTTGTGAATTTCACGAAGACATTGGAAGCCTGTGTGCACATGCCGTGGATCCAGGGACTGGCTGCCTTTCATGGTCAAAAAGTCTGCTCATGGACGGTGCCTGTGCTTTATTTTCAAGACGACAACTCCTTCTGCTGCAACACAGCTCACTCTGTTCAACAGAGCTTCAGAGCCCCCCAACTGTAGCATTTACCAAGTCAAAATAGGTTGCATTGGGGAAGAGAGGAAAGGGCAGGGGAGTATTACTTTGCCAGCCCAATTGCATGCACCTATATCTGGCTTCAGAATTAGGGGTCCGTGTCTGTATGTGCATGTTTGAAATACAGTAACCTTTTACAGTCGCCCTGAAGCTTTCTTTTCCACAGGTTGCTTAAACTTTACTAGTGGAGATGGCAGACTGGTTAATAACCTTTTTGTTCATACAATAACATTTTTTTCTTCATCATCAACATCAAAGGCTTCTATTTATTATGAAAATCCTTTGTTCTAGATCAGGCTGCTGAGAAGGGTCCCTTTATCTATTAATGTTTAAAGATAGAATTAGTAGACTGTGTCAGCACCATGATATGGAAGCAACAGGGCCAGGCCAAGCCTTGTCAACCTCACTGATACTTTGGCCCTGGGCAAAAAGGCCTTGCATTCTGCTGTCCAAAACAGTAATGCAAGTATGGGGCTAAACTATTTTCAGCTGTTCTCCAGTCCTCAGTGGCCACCTGAATGGAGTTCATGTATGCCATTAAGTATGAAAGTCTTTGTTCTATTGACCATTGGGTCTAGAGGGCTCGGATTCTCACCTCATCTCTTAAAATTTAGAACTTTGAAATAATGTCGTCTCACAAGTAACACTCCTATCACTTCTTTTAAAGTATGTTGTTTTAAGAAAACAATTGCTAAATTTAAAAGTAAGGAATAAACAAGAAATCATATTGGAAATATGCACTGGCTGCTAGAGGGTACCAAAAATTTTCAGAAGGGTGTGCTTTAGAAAGAACAGTAAAACCTTTGACTGTGTGGATCATGAGAAGCTATGGATCATTCTGAAAGAGATGGGTGTACCTCAGCATTTGATTATCTTGATGCCTAACCTATATTGCGGACAAGAAGCTACTGTTTAGAACAGAATATGGAGAAACAGAATGCCTTCCCATAGGCAAAGGTGTCAGACAAGTGTGTATTTTATCTCTCTTTCTATGTATGTAGAATACGTTATGTGAAAAGGTGGATTGGATTCAGATGTCAGAAGAGTGGAAATTGGTGGGAAATTATTTAAGATACACAGATGATACCATATTACTGGCAGAAAGCAACAGTGGCTTGACAACTCTTGAGGAAGATGAAAGAAAGGATATGAAAGCAGTAGTGCAGTTGGATATTAAGAGATAAAATATTTATTTATTTACTATTTATTTCATTGATTTATATACTGCTCCATTATTTTATTTATTTAATTTATATGCCGCCCACATTACCCAAAGGTCTCTGGGTATTAGTGTGATGCACTATACTGGGCAGTTGACAGAACATGAAATCAAGCAAAGAATAGCAAAGAAAGCAGCAGTGAGATTCAAAAAGTAAAAGATAGATTATAACAACAGAAGAATTGCAAAATGTTAATGTTAACATTGAAGAAAATGAAATTGTTAAACATACTTTAAATTTTAGTTCAGTCATTGATTCCAATGGAGACTTCAGCCAAAAAAAAAACAAAAAAAAAAACAGAAAATGAAGAGTAAGAAGTAGAGATATATAAATACAAGATAAATAAATATGGGCCTCCAGATGTTCTTGGACTTCAGCTCCCAGAAATCCTGGCTTGCAGAGGTGGTGGTGAAGGCTTCTGGGAGTAGCAGTCCAAGAACATCTGGAGGCCCAAGGTTGGGGACCACTGTCCTAATGGATATAGCGGCCAAATATAACTCAGTTGTATTGAAGTATGGTATACAACACATTGTCTCATCACTCTTACTCAAAAAATAAAAAACTTAATTTCTTATCTCTGCTTCTTCTTTAGTATCTGCTCTCACAACCAAAGTTCTGGGCAATTCAAACTTCTGCTTTGCTTCTTCGGACAAAACTTGAAAGAGGAAGTATCCGTCGAATTGAACGGGCAATGAAACAAACTCAGGTAAGAGTTTTCTTGATAAGTCTATTTCACTGTTTCTTTTCCCAACTGAACTTTTTTCTTTGTATATTTTTCCCTTTCATTAATCTTTCTTAGAAGGAAATGAGTACTAGAAATCCTTGATTGCAGCTTCTAAAGAAGTAGCCATGTTAGTCTGTCTCAGCATGTTCTCAGAATTAAATGGGAAAAATGGGGAGTGTGAAGTATTGTGGTACTTTAAAGACTATCAGATTTACTTCAGTGTGAGCTTTGCCTGTTGTCTGTATCCTCTGCTGTCAAGATTCCAGATGCCATGGGGATATGTAGAAACCCAAAGGATAAAACAGGTGGATTGGATCCTGTCCAAAGAAGCTGATACCAACGAACATATTTAAACATTTACTGAAGAGGTGAAACGCGCGCACACAAAACATTTAGTGACCTAGAATTGGTGCTCAGAAGTAGATAACATAGTTTTCTGAGTTCCTTGTAGAGTCAACTGATTCAAATGTATGGCTCTTCCTAACTTTGAAACTTTATTGTTTTGATTTTTGTTCCTAAGAATAATTTGTATATGCTATCCAAAATTGCAGGCTTTTATTGTTGCAGAGGAGAAGGTCTAGGGTAGAAATGTACTTCTGATTGTATCCCTGTCAGTTAATTGTAGCATAGTGTATCTATTTACACAATATCGATAAAAAAGCTGAAATGGAGCAAGATGTTCAGGGTGCTTCAAAGGTATTAAAAGTTGTAGGAGAACAAACCGACATGTCAAAAGTAACTTCATGAAAACTGCTAAAGCCATTTCATACTTCAAGGCTAGGAATGGCTACTTAGAAGTAAGTTCAGTCCCTGAATGAATACAGAAGACTGAACTGTAGAGTCCTGCAGATATTCCTAGCCAATTTTCTGCCCTGTTGAAAGCAAAATCCTGAAACCTGGGCAAATGTTAAAATGCCAACCTATTAATGAGCATAACAGGTTGTAAATAGAAACAAGTAATACTGTATGCGGTAATGTTTGGATACTCTTAGTTTGGGTTTTTTATATTAAACCAGGGTAAATATCAGCACAAATCCTACTGCTGTTTGTGTATGGTTTGCATAACTTGTTACAGCGAACTGCAGCTAATTGATGAGATGCCACGGTACATCTTGATCCAAGATCTGTCCTGGCACTTTGTCAGTTCGTTGGAGGAAGATACATGGCTATTTCACTATTTGTTAAAAAATTTTTTTGGTAGATTGACTGGTTTGTATACCTTCTTTACCTTAAAACAGTGATTCAAAGCAGCTCAGATCAAAATTAGCTTAAAAACACAAATAAAAAGGCAAGACGTTAGGCCTTGGGTCCCTTAATTGAGAAAAAAATAGAATAGAAACACAAACAAACTAATACAGTTGTAATACTAAAACACAATTAAACAAATTACAGTATTAAACCCTAATTGAAGTAGAAACTGTTCAAAAGTACGTGAATAAAGTGCAGCATCTGCCCATGACAAGCCCCTTATCACCAGTTAATAAATAATAATATAGGAATGAATCAATACAGTATTGATGAAGTCTTATTACAAGTAATTTTGTGTATTGACTTGGTTTATTTCTAATTACTCAACTGATCCTGTTTTGTAGCAACAGTTATTTAGCAGACTTTTTTTTCACTTTACCAAAATATTTGAGGAAACTAAACCATCATAAACTGTTAACACCATACCCTTAGATCTAAACAAAATGCCAAACTGGGACCCAGTAACCGAAAATGAAATAAGGCCATTGTATGTTTTTCTATGATTCACAAACAAATGTATATTTTGATCTGTCTGAATTCGATGCAGTCAGAGCAGGCATCAGCTCATCATATGTTTTATTTTAGAATGCTAGTCTTAGGTCTGTCAGCCTCTGATAATTTCAGATGGCCTGGGCTGCTGAGTCATGGGAATTTCCCTGTTGGGATATATTTGTATGTGCTGTTTTCACACATAACCATACAACTTCCTCACTAAGGCGACAAAAGGAATGTTTTATAAAAGGTACCTTTAAATTAGCTTAACAAGGTAACTAGTAATCTAATGGGAAGTACTGACGAAGACTAAAGGTCACCCAAAATGATTCTGTATGTTTAGTCAAACACAGATGTGTATGTGGTTGGCAAGCTTGTATCATATGGCAATTCAGTTTTCAAAAATAGTATTTTTGAGTAGGATTTTTGCAATAATCACCACTTTCCTACGTTACAGAGGAAAGAAAGAAAAGCAGCGATTTGTCACTTACTGAAAATGTGTTTGTGGTTTAGAGCCGTCATGGTTGTCCAGTGGTTGTAATACTGAACCTAATCTTCAAAATCCTGCTCTTGCTGGCTGAGTCAGTGTCCAAATCTCTGTTTCCTTTCTGTGTAGTGGGAATATTAATGGCTTGCCTTCCAACGATCAGATGATTCAGGCACTGTTCAGAATGAGATTAGATTGCAAAGCACCTTGGACAGAAGGCATCTTTGCAAAATCAGCACGCTGCAACTCACATTAGAACTGCTGCCAAAATAGCCTTAGCTTAGGAAATCATGCGTTTCCCTCAAACTCGTCAATCCATTTCAGTGGTGCCATGGGGGGAAAAAAAGAAGTGTAAGAGCACAAGAAGAACTCCACAGGACCAGACCAGCAGTCAGTTTAGTCTGGAATCCAGTTTTCCATAAAGCATACTTCTTTTGATCCTACAGATGACTTATGCATACCATAACTAATAGCCATTACTTATATGGGAATAAATCACTTTGAACTCAGTGGGATTTATCTGATTAGGTATTTTAGGTGTAAGTGGGAGGTTGCTGTGGACATTCAGTGCCCTTCCATTAGATCTCAAAAGAGGAAACTTAAAAATGAGGGAAATGATAAGAACATTGAAAAGCAGTCGAAAAATGTCACTTTGTCAGAATGTCTAAGCTACAGCGATAGAGACAGCTACTGTGGTGTACTGAACAGAGTGTTAGCCCAGGACTCGGAAGTCCTGGCATCAAGTCCTCACTTGGCCTAGGAAATTAGCTGTAAGGTAGAAACAATAAAGCCACCCCTTAAATATCTCACAAACCTTGCAGACTCTGTTAGGGTTGTTATAAGTCATAAGTGGTGTGATGGCACATATGCACATGTGTACATGTACTCTCGCTCGCTTGCTTGCTTGCTTACAGTTGTGGCCAGGTATTTATTGGGGCCACAAAACGTAGTATCCAGACCAGAATCAAAGAACATGAAAGACACTGCAGACTAAAACAACTGGAAAAATCGGCAGTAGCTGAATATGCTCTGAAACAAGCTGTACATGAAATCCTGTTTCAAAATACAGAAGTACTGGACAACACCAGCAATCATTATGTTAGACTACACAGGGAAGCCATTGAAATCCACAAACACTAGCACAGCTTCAACAAAGAAGAAGAAAGTCTAAAACTCAACAAAGCCTGCCTCCCAGCATGCAAAAAGGGCAATGAACTCTATCCAGCCAGAAGGACCAGTGATCACTGCACACAAAAGACTAGCCAACAATAACAATCAATCACAGTGACGGATAATCTCCTCCCTTATTAAAAAACAACTCCCATAACAAAAAACACCCTGATCACAGGAAACACCTAATCTCCTGAAAAGAACTAAAACTTGATCCCACAACTACAGATACTCAACAATCCCACACACTACACCAGAACACAGACAGAGTTCTAGTTCCTGTCCTCTGAAGATGCCGGCCACAGAGACTGGCAAAACGTTAGGAAGATAAACCTCCAGAGAACTTCCAAACAGCCCGAAAAACCCACAACTTCGGATCCCGGCTGTGAAAGCTTTCGAGAACACAGTTGCTGATATCTTAATCTACATAGATCAACCAAAGGGAATGATAAGCTGCTGTGCTTCATTGTAGAGATGTCAATTTTACCATCCTTAGAGAAGAAATCCAGTTTTTAAAGCAGCCCTAGAAAAATGGATAAGATTTCTTTATTAGCCTTTTACCTCCTTAACTCATTACCATGTTATTCCTGCAATGTTTTTTATAGACCAGGTTAATTTAGCCACCAATCATTTGTTTACAGAACAAAGCTTCCTAAGAAAAGAACTGAATATCAAAGAGACATCTTAAAGGTCATTATCAGGAGTGAAATGCCTCACAATCAACACCTTGTGTCCAGGAAACAATATCTTTTGGCCATGTATAAATGCATGAATATTTGCCATGTAGTCTCATTCCTATATCTGACAAAGCCCACAAAAGCTCACGTTAAAATATACCAGTTAGTCTTAAAGGTGCCACAATATTTTTGTCTTCTTTATTTTTGTATTTTTCTTTCGTTTTTGGCCTACATCTATAGGAGTGTGTAGGCATATGGCCTGATATACTAGCACAGATTAACATGGCTGTCTCTTCTAAAACTTCATGGCTAAAATATCATTAAAAAGATATTGGGGTCCTCCTTTTTACTGCAAGTCCAGCACAAAATGGAAACCCGTTTCTGCAAGTTGAGGAACACTAAATGGAAGTACGAAGAGTTGCACTCATGAGAAGAAACGGCAAAGCTAGTTGCTTGAGTTTGGAAATAGAAAGCTTGAATCACAACAGTGTACATGTTTTGTCCATTCTTCTTCAGTGTAATAAAACTAGATATAGACTTCTTTTATTGACAAACACTCCAGCTGTCTTCTGACTCCTCTGATCAAATGAAGAGTGCTTATAGTTAGTTTTAAGAGAATTCCAGTGGCTTAACATTTATGTTATCAGGCTACTAAGTTTTAAAAAATCAGCTGCAGCTGTTTCTTTTTTGTGGCTTCTTGAAAAAGAAATAATATTGGCAATTAAAATGAGTTACAATATAATGTTTGTTCACTGTTTAGTTAAAAATCTTTGTTTGAAATGTGCATTTTGACAGAGTAATCTGTGTTGTCTATTTCCATTATTATATGCTTCATAGAAAAAGTGGTCCACTTTAAATAAAAAGCCCTTAAAATTCTTTGTGGGTGGCGTAAACTTTTTTTCTACTTG